GGATATTCCAGACCACACGACGTTGTGCTGAACAATCAATATGGGGTGGCTGGCCAGGGTAGGGAGTACCACTACTGTGGGACAGGCAATCACCATCATGATCATCATCATCATTGTTCGTATTATTTCTTTTCCCTTTCTGTCCTATTAAACTGTCTTTATCACAGTCCGAGATTGATTTATTTATTTATTTATTTATTTATTTATTTATTTATCTTTTTTTCCCCTCCTCATTCTCTCCTGCATCTGCTCAGGGTGTAGCAGGGTGTGTGTGTGAGGGAATGGCTGTGTGGTGCTGAGTTGCCTGCCGGGTCAAACCACACTCTTTTGGTGCCCAACATGGAGCACAATTTTTGAGCCAATGACAGATCTGGCCACAGCACGTTAAAAGAAAGCTATTATAAGCATTAGTTAATTTTAACAGTTGCTGATCATAATGCTGATCTATTTTCTTTCTTTCTTTCTTTCTTTCTTCTTTCTTTGGTCATTCCTTGGGGGAGGAAGGAAGGAAGAGGAAGGAAAACGGACCGGAGGGAAGGAAGGTTCGGAGGACGGAAGGAAGACGGAAGACATTCCGAAAGACGACAGAAGAAAGAAAGGAAGAAGGAAGAAGGAAGGAAGGCCGGAAGGAAGGAAGGAAGGAAGGCAGGAGGGAAGAGTCCGAACAAACTGAAATAGAAAGCCAAATAACGCCCGTCCTCGAAGACTTCCTCCTTCCTTCCTGGAGGAGGAAGAGGAAGGAAGGCTTTTCCCCCTCCCCTCCCTCCCTCCCTCCCCCCCCTCCCTCCCCTCCTCCCTCCCTCCCTCCTCCCTCCCCCTCCTACCTCCCTCCCTCCTCCCTTCCTTCCTTCTCTTTGACTCTTTGACCTCTCTTCCTTCCTTCCTTCCTTCCTTCCCTTCCTTTCCTTTCTAAGGCTCAGATCTGTTGTGCTCGATTTCAGAATCGTGTTGCATAGCACATCACTTACTGTAAGTCTCCCCTGTCATGCTGTTTATCTTTTCTGATGGCTGCGTCAAGTTTATTCTTTTGATGTGTTGTGTAACACTGGCTTATGATATGATAAAAATCCTGGTCATGAGACTAATCTGGTACTTGTACTCAGCTTTGCCATTGCCAACATACCTTGGGAGCCATCTCTCAGAAACTATTAAGAACTACACTCTGGACCTTTTCTCCTCAGGAAACCAAGCCATGGGGAGACAAGGGGAGGACATTTTTCCCCACTTGTTCGCTCTCCCTTTCTCTTTCACCTCACCCTTCTCCTCCAGGCTATTTACACTGGCTCTTCAAAGTCTTGAATATCCTTGGGATGGTCAAACCAGCATGCTCCTATTGTTATGTCTCCTGAATGTGTTTCAGGACTACTTAAGAATATCATTCAGATATCTGTCTGGTGGCAGGAGAGTTTGGAGTGGCAGGAAGTGTGGGAGGATCTGGGCAGGCACCTACAGCAGTCGGCACCTCCAGTGCTTTGGAACTTCACCCCAAGCAAATGCAGAATCCTAAAAAAAAAAAAATGGTTAAATGCTTGAAAAGGAGGTGTTATCACCCTGGCATTTCCAAAGAGACACATACCACTGCAGTGTGCTGGGTCTTGGCCTGTGTTTACAGAGCCACAATCAATGCCACTCCAACCTTTGTGAAAAGCCCTGCAGTCACTCCAACCCCTCTGACAGACCCTGCAGTCACTACAGCATCTGCAAAATTCCCTGCAGCAACTCCAGCTCTTGTTCTGGGCCCTGTGTCTGAGCCAGAAAACCAAGCTCTGTCTGTATCAGTTGCTCCTATATGCAAGAAAAAACAGTGGATGTGAAAGTCAGTTAGTCAGAAGATGAGGCAGGCTTCAGAAAAGCTGGGCCATCATGTGAGTAGGAGGACAAAGAGAAAGAAGTCATAAGAGCATCAGTAATCATGCAATTCCTATCCCTATGCTGCTCTGGTGCTGGGAGAAACGGGGCCCTCCCTGGAATTAGAGGGCAGGAAAGGAGATATGGTGGGCACACACTATGTGCCACCCTGTGGTTTTACCTGTGTGACCATGGAGAGGACATGAGAAAGTGGGATGGAAAATTTACCTCCAGCCTAGAGGCACGGGTGTGTGAGTGGCAAGGACAAACAATCACTAAAAGGGGTTCTTAGAGAACTGCTGCTCCAATTTCCAGCGGGCTGTCCTGCAGACACAGTACTGAACACTATGAGCAGGACTAGAGGGGCTGTGCCTCCAGCCAGGGGGAGGAAGGGGACAGTCGGGTTTATTGGACTGTGTGGATTTGATTACCTTGCACATCAGACCCACAGAAGTATCAGGAGCTAGTGGGCACCACTGCACAGCATACCCTAATGCCATCAAGCTACAGAGGGTCGAACCCATTTGTATGTCTGCAGTGACAAGGGGATCCCAACACTGAACCGTACTGGAGGCTGAAGTGTTTTCTAAGTGGGAAGGAGTGGCAAAAGCACCCCATTGGCACTGGCCCAGAGACTCTGTGCATCCTTGGAAGAGACTGCTTCAGGAGAGGATAGATATTTCAGGGACCCAAAAGGGTATCGGTGGGCTTTAGGCATAGCTGCCTTGGAGACAGAGGATATTATACTGTTGTCTGCCTTGCCTTGGTCTCTCGCAGGACCCTTCTGTTGTGGGGTTGATGAGGGCTGAAGGACAGCTGGTGCCAATCCCTACCACAGCCGTGCACCCGAGTCAGGATAGCACCAACTGAGTGCACTAACAGAGGCCTATCATGGCCTGAATGAAGTCCCGCAATGCTGAGTGCTGGCATGCCAGCAGCATGATTCAGACTGCCCTGGAAGAGGAGGAAGCTCCTGAGCACCTGCACTACATCGATGGCATCACTGGGTGGGGTGGCACAGCAGAGGGAGTATTTGAGAAAGGGAAGAAAATACTCTAAATTTCTCTGCAAGCTGATTTTGCACGAAAATAAATTAAGGTCAAGGGATGTGCGCAAGAGATCCCGATGCAGGCTGGCCAGGGTCAGTGGGAGCAAAGCTCAGGGACAGGTTGAGCATTGGTGAGGGACTTCTCAGCAATTGCATGGTGCATCACTTGCCTTGTACATATTATTATTGCTATTGTTATTGCTATTGTTATTGTTATTGTTAATGTTAATTACTATTTTAACTTCCTTTTCTGTATTTTGTCTGTACCCTGGTAACTTAGTGAAACAAATCCACTTTATGTACACTTCAGTGTCACCTTCACATTGCCTTTGTCTCCTTGTCCTCACTGCCTCCAGGGTTCTGCTCTAACAAGTTCCAAGGGAGGCTGTGTCAGTGCTGGCCCTCAGGGGGACACTGCAGGAAACTTGCCTCTGACTTGCACTTCTGGAGAGATGTCTTCAATTGTCTCTGAGTGCCTGAGGTCCGTGGGCTCATCAGCAAAGCCCCCAGAGGGGTGATTGCAGTGCCTTGGGCTGGTGCTGTGCTGCTGAGCTGGGCCGGGCTCATCGGACAAAGAAAACACATTTCAGAAAGTCCCATGAAGCAGAGAGAGCGCTGTGCCCAGGAGCAGCTCCTCTGCACAGCGCAGCAGGGCTGGTGGCTCTGACCGCAGCTGGCACGCAGAGAGGAGAGAAGGAGAGAGGGCTTGGAGGCAGTTGGCAGTGGGAGGATGCTGAGAGCTGCCTGCAGGAGAAACCTGCACAGCCCTTGACAAGGTAAGGGTCTGGCTGCAGGGTCATGCAGCTGCAGATCCTGGAAGGGTCTCCTGCTGGGTCTTGTTTCTGGGAGGGCAGTGGGCAATGCAGTAGGCTTTGAGAGTCCTGCTGGGTTGCAGTGCGAGGTGAGGAAGTCTGGCAGAAACCCCTTGGAGTGTCATAACCAAGCTGCCCCTGGTCAGAAAAGAGCCAATCGGCTAAGCCTCCAGCAGACACTGTAGGGAGTGCAGCTGGGATACTGGGACAATCCAGCTTTCAGATATCCATCTCTGTTCATGGGGCATCCTCCTGCGTTGCAGGCTACTATACAGCAGGATGCATCTCTCTTGTGGCATCCTTGTGTTATCCAGGATCCCGAAGAAAAGGACACCTCCTGGCTAAGGCCATGTCTGTGCTACTGGATGGCAGTCTGTGGGCAGCTGGAGTGAGGCCTCTGCACCCTTTGTTAGGAGGGAGGAACTGAGATCCTGTTCAGTCCCGTGGTGACAAGGTGAGGATTCTGTCCAGCTGCACTGGGACTGGGCCTTCTCTGCTCTCAGCTGTCTCCAGTTTCTTCTCAGGTAAACACCACAGTGGGATGGTCCTACAGCTCTCAGAGAGGTGACAGGGCAGCTGTGAACACTGTTGTTCAGCAGTGGCATCTGCACCTCTGCTCTGCATTCGGATGAGCTGTTTGCAATAGTACTGCAAATCTCATTGTCCAGACAGGTGGACTGAACTAGAGTTTCCCCCATTTTTCTGCCTCCCTCCTGCTGCATAGGAGGAAGGACTCCTCTGCAGCCCATAGCAGCTCCTTCTGCAAGTGCCACTCTCAGGCAGCACCAGCCAAAGCTCAAGCAAGACAGATGCAAAAAGGGTCTCCTGCAAAGCAAGAGGCTAGGCTGGGGGGTACTCTAAGGCTTGCAAAAAGTATCTGCCAGAGAAATGTGTACTAACTATGTTCTGACTTACCCTCTTCAACAGAAAACCATGTCCAATGTCAGAAAATGCCCAACATCAGCTCAGTGAGTGAGTTCCTGCTGCTGGCATTCGCAGACACACGCGAGCTGCAGCTCCTGCACTTCGCGCTCTTCCTGGGCATCTACCTGGCTGCCCTCCTGGGCAACGGCCTCATCCTCAGCGCCGTAGCCTGCCACCACCGCCTCCACATCCCCATGTACTTCCTCCTCAACCTCGCCCTCCTCGACCTGGGCTGCATCTCCACCACTCTGCCCAAAGCCATGGCCAATGCCCTCTGGGACACCAGGGCCATCTCCCATCAAGGATGTGCTGCTCAACTCTTCTTTTTTGTCTTCTTCTTTGGTTCAGAGTTTTTTCTTCTCACTGTCATGGCCTATGACCGCTACGTTGCCATCTGCAAGCCCCTGCACTACGGGAGCCTCCTGGGCAGCAGAGCTTGTGTCCAGATGGCAGCAGCTGCCTGGGGCAGTGGCTTTCTCAATGCTGTCCTGCACACGGCCAACACATTTTCCCTGCCCCTCTGCCAAGACAATGCTGTGGACCAGTTCTTCTGTGAAATCCCCCAGATCCTCAAGCTCTCCTGCTCAGATGCCTACCTCAGGGAAGCTAGGGTACTTTTCTTTACTCTTTGTTCAGTCTTCGGTTGTTTCATTTTCATTGTGGTGTCCTATGTGCAGACCTTCAGGGCAGTGCTGAGGATGCCCTCTGAGCAGGGCAGGCACAAAGCCTGTTCCACGTGCCTTCCTCACCTGGCCGTGGTCTCCCTGTTTGTCAGCACCGCCATGTTTGCCTACCTGAAGCCCCCCTCCATCTCTTCCACATCCCTGGACCTGATAATGGCAGTTTTGTACTCGGTGTTGCCTCCAGCAGTGAACCCCCTCATCTATAGCATGAGGAACCAAGAGCTCAAGGATACAGTGAAGAAAATCTTTGGATACACGGTTACAGTAATATTCCAATAGACATAACTGTACTTTTAGTTTAAAATGTGTTTATGAGAATTTCATAATTTTTTTGTATTTCTATTTCTTAATAATAGTGCTTCTGATTATTATTTTTTTTTCCCAGACTCCTACCTTTTAATTTAATTTTTTTATTTATATATATATATATTATGTTATTTTCTCATGTACATATTGAACCAGGCTTCCTGTTTAGATAAAGACAATAAAGAAACAGAAATTCTGTTGAGTCCATGACTGGACAAAAGAAACAGAAAAGAAAGAAGAAACAGAAATTCTGCTGACTGTGGGATCCCCTCTGCCTCCAGACCCAGGAGGACCCAGGCAGAAAGAAGGCCCCCATATGGGTTGTCCTGTGCCTTCTGCTTGAGTCCATGACTGCAGAGCAGCAGGCACAAGGCTTGGCTGTGTCTCCACAAGAATCTGCAAAGCCAGCAGCAGGCCCCTGGCTTGGAAGCTGCTGCTGAGGTGACTTGTGTCTGGTTGGCTTGCAGGTCGCAAGGAGCCTGCTGGGTTGGGATGCCTATTTCAGGAGTGGTTTCCACCCTGATGGAGCTCCCTTTGGTAGTAGGAAAGAGCAGGAGAGAAAAAACCGCCACAAAGCGCACCTTGGAAGTTATGCACTGGCCATGAGAAGGAAGAAATGTCCCTCAAAGGGTCGTGCTGTGGTGCCAGAGGTCAACCAAAGAGTGTCTGTGATCAGACCCTAACTTTGTGTTTCAAGGAACAGCTGGTGAGGGTTTGTGAGACATGGGTGAAATGATGGAAATGCCGGGATGAGAACAAGGTGGTGAACGGAGATGGGCTTCTGCAGACTTCAAGGAAATAGGGCAAAAGTGGGATAGCACAGGAATGCCTGCAGAGGATAAGGCAGCAGGTGCTGGTAAAAAGGGAAGGCCCCAACAGCCCTGAGCTATTTGTCCCTTTGTCTAGAGCTGATGAGGAGATGAGAAGTAGTCATTGCACTGGAGCCTCATTGCCTCCTTGCAACCCTGTGCAAATGGAGGTGTCATACCATTGTTCTTCCCAAGGCATCACACTGACCACTACATCCCACAGACCCCCAGGAAGAGCCCTGATGTGGACAGGGGGCTGCAGGATCTCCCCTCCCAGTTCCAGGGATCAGCACTTGGATCTTCTGATTCATCAAAGGAAACCAAGACTTTTCTCAACACAGCGCCTTTGCCTGTCTGTAATCATGGCCTCCAATTATCTGCCCTAAGCAGTCCCTAGGGAGGCTTTGTTAGTAACAGCCTTCAGTGGGGCCCATTAATACTCCAAGTCACTTTGACTTTTCCTTCTGACTTTACATTCTTAAGCAATTGCATCGCTCTCCTCTCTGAGGAGTTCCAAGGTGTATTTTGGTGCACAGTCTATGAAGCTCAGCTTCATTGACTGTGCGCGTAAATACACCATGGAATTCATTAAACTGAAGAAACTCCTAAGATCTCTTCAATACTTTTCTTCATGACTTCAAGACTTGTACAGCTAATTACAGAGCTTTTGTGATATTCTTAAGGAAGAAGATTTCAAAAAGCACCTAATACGTATATCTTTTCTTGTTTTAAAGGCTAAATTTTGCTGCATTTCAGTTTCCAGCATCATTCTTCTATTGCTATTGATCCAAGGAATCTTCTTTGGAGACTTCAATAGGGAGCAGAAAAAAGCAGAGTCTGGAGGTCTGAAACCTCTACTGCCAGCAGTGGTCTTTGTCCCTGTAACTGCAGCCCAGCGCATGAAACCTTTTCAAAGACAAGTCAGGCATTCCTTGGGTAAAATAATGAAGCAAATAATAAAATAAAATAAATAAAATAAAATAAAATAAAATAAATAAAATAAAATAAAATAAAATAAAATAAAATAAAATAAAATAAAATAAAATAAAATAAAATAAAATAAATAAATAAAATAAAATAAATAAAGTTGAAATGACAATCAGAACTTGAGAAATTCCGGTTAAATCTTATTAGACAACTGGACATGGTTCTCTTGTGTCTTCTGTCAAAAACTCAGGATGAAAAGTAAAAAAATATATCTTCAAGTGGCTGTACCTGTACCCATGATCTTGGACTCTTTGGGGAAATTGTCCTCTTCCAGCCACGGAAACCTTAATTGAGTAATTTGAAAAGACCTGCCCAGTCAATGGAGTAGGGCAAAGTCCTTCTTCCTGTGCTATAGATGCAGAAGGCAAAAAGAATTGCATTGTGCCTGACACTACTCTGGGACGTGTCACCCAGGTCAGGCAACTTTACCTTAGTGCTGACAAGTCCATCACTAAACCACACTACCAAGCTCTCCAGTCAATGACCCAGCTCATGGATGGCACTCAGGGAGTCTCAGTTAACACGATGCTGCCTCAGGTTCTCCACCATGGTAGCCATTGGCACCTGATGTTCTTCAACCTTCAGCAAACCCACAACAGAAGGATTCTGTGTAAGGCCAAGCAATGTAGACAACAGTTTCATGTCCTTTGTCTCCAAGACAGCTCTGCCAAAGCTCCACAAGTGGTGCCCTCTTGGAACTTTGAAGTACCCTCTTCTGAGACAGTCTATGCCGAGGATGCACATAGCCTCCGGACCAGTCCCAATGGGGTGCTTTGGCATTCCTTCCGAGTTAGACTCACTTCTGCCTCCAGTACAGTTATCTCTTGGGATTCCCCTGTCATTCCAGAAATACAGGTGGGTTCTACCTCTTTCTAGCTTGATGGCATTAGGGTACACTGTGCACCGGTGTCCAGTCGAGCCTGATACATTTCTGGGTGTGATGTGTCAGGCCATTAAATATACCCAGTCCAGTAAATCCCATTGTCCCTTTCCTGCCTGCCTCCCCCTGGCTGGAAGGAAGACCCCTCTACTCCTGCTCGTCGTATTTATTACTGTGTCTGGTAGACAGCCCACTGAAAACACATCCCACCATGGCACTGTCATTTCATGGTGCAGTGCAGAGGCTGTTGATAGCAAAGGGATGCATTTGAGTGTGGAAGGTGGGGCCCAGCAGAGACGAGGAATCAAGGCAGTGGGGTGGGTGAGGCCAGGAGAAGCAGCCCAAGGGGTGGTGCTGCTGGTGAGGACACGTTTGTGGCAGCAGCCTGAGTGGGAAGCAGCTGTGCGCAGGTGAGGGGAGGCCAGGAAGCGCATGCCAAGAGCGCTCCTGCCAGCAGAGCCAAGGCTGGGACTGAGCTCAAGGGCAGAGGCAGGCCCAGGGCAGGGGGCTGCAAGGGCCATGCTGAGCTCCCTGCCCCTGCAGCAGCCGCCCTGGCCCTCGGCCTCCTCTCCCCTGCCCCTGCAGCTCTGGGCTCCCTTCTCACAGCCCTGGCTCTGCAGCACCAAGCCCTGCTGGGAGCCCTCCCCTGCATGGTGCCACCACTCCCTGACGCTGTTGTTGCCCTCTGCCGGGCACTGCCCAGCCCAGCCCAGCCCCTGCCCACCTCTCCCCACCTCTCTGTCATCTCCCCAGACCAGCCCAGCCCAGTCACACAGAATCACAGAATTTCTAGGTTGGAAGAGACCTCAAGACCATCGAGTCTAACCTCTGACCTAACGCTAACAGTCCCCACTAAACAATATCCCTAAGCTCTACATCTAAACGTCTTTAAAAGACTTCCAGGGATGGTGACTCCACCACCTCCCTGGGCAGCCTGTTCCAATGTCTAACAACCCTTTCAGTAAAGAAGTTCTTCCTAAGATCCAACCTAAAACTCCCCTGGTGCAACTTAATCCCATTCCCCCTCGTCCTGCAGCAGCCCAGGCTGTGCTGGCCCCAGGGCAGTGCCCACTGCAGGCTGCTGCAGGGCTCTGGGCACGGCCACCACAGCCCCCGCACTGGGACCAGCTCAGGAGATGGAGGTCCATGAAGCTGCAGGAGCCCTGCTCTCTTGCCTGACAGATCCCCAGCACATAGTGCCTGTGCCTCACAGGGCCAGCCCCCGCTCCCCAGGCCAGCACAAGAGGCCTGGCCTAGCCACAGAGCAGCTCCAGATTCTGGGCCGTGAAGCTCCAGATTGCCCCACTTAGTAGTGATGGGAAACCCCAAGGGCCACCAAAGCTGTTCCTAAATGTGACAGCAGGCCTTTTGGCCCTGAGCCCCTTCGCCATTAGGAGAGTGAGATGGGATCGGAGAGCTGTGAATATCTCATGGCTTCTTTATTGCCTTAATCTACACAGGAAGATTGCTAAAAGTAACGTACATGAGTGGGTCAAAATAAATATCAACACATAGAAGGATGAGAAGAAATTTCCTTAAATCAAAATAATATTATCACATATTTAAAAAAAAAAAAAAAAGAATAAACAATTTCATAAAGTGTTTTGTGACAAATTTGCTCAGTACTGTTAAGATGCTGAGCATATTATTTGTGCTCAAATACTACGTGGGAAAGTAATTTCCTTAATGCATTTTTCAGTTCCTGAAAGAGAAGGGAATACTCTGATACAACCAAGAAAGCAAAGAGAAAGAGTTGAGCAGCACAGCCTTGATAGGAGATGGCCCTGGTGTCCCAGAGGGCATTGGCCATGGCTTTGGGCAGAGTGGTGGAGATGCAGCCCAGGTCGAGGAGGGCGAGGTTGAGGAGGAAGAAGTACATGGGGGTGTGGAGGCGGTGGTGGCAGGCTACGGCGCTGAGGATGAGGCCGTTGCCCAGGAGGGCAGCCAGGTAGATGCCCAGGAAGAGCACGAAGTGCAGGAGCTGCAGCTCACGCGTGTCTGCGAAGAGAGAGAGATGTCAGCAGGAGGAACTCACTGACAGAGCTGACGTTGGACATCTGTTATTTCTGGTCATGAGGTCTTGTAGAAGGAAGACAAAGGCAGTGATAATATACCACAGACATATCTGAGGAAAACACTTCAAATTTTCTCATTTAAAATCACCAAAATTTTGTGCATTTGTAGGCAGGTATTTTGAAACTGTATTTCATTGATAATGCCTGAGAGTGCCTCTGGGAGCAGGGGACTCCTCTGTGGGCAATGGAAGAATAAGTCCTGCACTACAGCCAGAGGGAGTA